AGTTTTAAGTCATTTATTGAAAAGAAAAAGCAAAAACAAATAAGTTGCTCAGTGTTTCAGCCTTATTGTATTTGCATTGTAAACTTAGCAAAAAAAGTAAATCAGCACATATTTGAGCAGCAAGCCAATCCAAATTGGTGCCAACATGACCACTAAACCGCCAGACCACTCAATGTGCTTTCTGCCTTGTTTGTATCGCTGAACTCCCTTTCTATCCCCTTTTTTACTCGCTATCTTCTGAACCAACTCTGGATCTGCTTTTTTCAGGTTCCAAACCCAGCCAATAGACGCGAAACAATCAATCAACAGCGTGGCGGGGTTAAAAACATCGGCCGGGACAAACTCTGAGGCAGAGTAGTCGCCCGGAAAAGCGGGATGATAGTTGTGGAAACCTATGAAATAATAAAGATGTGTCCAAATAAAAAAAATGTACTGAAAAAATCTCCAGCTTACCTTCGCCTATCACTAAATGCCGAATTGAGGTGGCCTCCACTAGAGCCAACTTTTCATTGTACGGTCTCGCTCCAAAGAGATGTGCCCAGGAGTTGACCAGCCAGATGACGTGCAGCGAGATAGTGTAGCGTGCAATGACGCAAAGGATGAAGGAGGCAAAAGGTGATTCACCCCACAAGTAGACCGGAAGCGCAGTGGGCAACGCCAGCCAGAGCAGAGGCACCCAAAGAAGGTAGTAGTACTTTCGTTGCAAGCGAACCAGTGGATCGGCAATTACATCAGAAAGGTCCATTGTGGCGACCTGTTTTAGCACTTCAGGGTGTTTGTTTTGCATCAATTAGCCCTAGGTTAAAACTAAAATGTTTAATAGCTGGCTTTTTATCAATTGTTGTCCCTACCATTTGACTAAAAAAGAAACCCCGTTTTGAATTGTGTGGATCGGCATCAGTCTCTGACCATTTGTGGTGTGCCCTGTGGTCACGGCACCAAAAGTGAAAGTCATTTTGCAGTGAAATTGTCTGACAAATGACAATCAATAGGCAAAGAGGAAAGTTTGCCTGAAAGGTTCGGTGAGCGTAGTACCTGCAAATTTTTTTAAAGTTTTTTGCAAACAAATAAAAAACAATACCTGTGTGCGCCTACATTAATTCCCAACACTGTAACTAGTAAAAGAAAATCCCCAAAGAAAATGGTTGCATTACTGGATTTCACAAGTGCCGCCGGAAGAAATGCAAAAAAGAGAATATGCAGCAGGGCGAAAGCCAACACTTTCCACCAGCGGATGGGCGTTTTGAAACATGAAAATAGAATTGCACAGGTGACGTTTGGTTTAGGGCACTTTTGATTCATTTAAAAAACAAAAAACACAAAAGGTCATTATTTTGGAAATAAATAAACGCAATCAAGGTTTTAGATACGTTTTATACTGCTAAAAACTATACTTTTTCTAATAATATTTTTAAATAAATTTTAAAACAATTTAAGGTGAGAGTTAGTCAAATTTTTCAGAAAAATTCGGTATACTTTTATTTTTACAAACAAATGAACTTAAAAAAATGCAAAATTTTATATTTTGGCAACTTCAACCGTTTGTAAAAATAAAAGTACACCGAATTTTTCTTAAAGCCCACATACGGTCTTTGCCTAGCTTTTTAACTTTATTTTAAAACAAAAACTGCAATTTTAGCTGTTCCACAAGCTGAGATCAAGAATTAAACAAAAAATGACCATTTCTATAGGAATAATACGAAGGCCAAAAAAAATAAAAAATTCCGCTTACTCTCACCTTAAAACATTTATTTATGCCAAAATTTTTATACTAATTTATATTTTGAATNACAAAAACTGCAATTTTAGCTGTTCCACAAGCTGAGATCAAGAATTAAACAAAAAATGACCATTTCTATAGGAATAATACGAAGGCCAAAAAAATAAAAAATTCCGCTTACTCTCACCTTAAAACATTTATTTATGCCAAAATTTTTATACTAATTTATATTTTGAATGTTTATTTATAAAATATTAATCAGAACAAATAAGTTTTAATGGTAGTTTTGTTAATACCTTTGATTGCTTTATTAAACCTAATCAAGTTTAAAATATTAAAAACTTTTTACTTATTTTGTTGCTGTAATTGCAACTGTTGATTGTTGTTTGTACTACTTTTGTTGTTGCTGTTGATGTTCTTGCTGCTGTACGTTTTTTGGTAAAAATTGAAAAAGAGGCAAAAGAAGAATAGAGNGTTGCTGTAATTGCAACTGTTGATTGTTGTTTGTACTACTTTTGTTGTTGCTGTTGATGTTCTTGCTGCTGTACGTTTTTTGGTAAAAATTGAAAAAGAGGCAAAAGAAGAATAGAGGCTGCGTCATGGCAATCAAAAGGAAAATGGCTGGATATCCGGTCTGTTTAAAGAAAAAGACCACTGCGTAGAGACCAAAAAAGACAAACTGGCCCAGTTGCAGCTGAGTGAGGTACCGTTTCCACCAAAGGTATGGCTTTAAGCGTGGACCCAATGTAGAAAGGCCAAAGTAGGTGTACATGCTTGAATAAAAAAATTTTATAAAAAGTTTTTTCATTAACAAGAAAAAATTTTAAAAATAGTTTACCTTGTATGAATAATGCCGTTCAAAAGGGCAAATAAAAACATAAAAGGAGCGTTTGCGCAGCACTTGAAACAAAAATATCCAAATATGATCACTGAGGTGTGGTGGTAGAGATGCAGAAAGGAGAGGTGGGCAAACTTTTTCCGCAGCACAAAGAAAACGGTGTCAAAAAGGTCGAGGAACTTGGTCATGTAGTACCACCAGCAAACATTCAATTCTAGCAGTGTTTGAGGACTGGTGTCACTTCGATCTGGGAACTCCCAAATAAGGAAACGGCGACCATAATCACAATTGACGATAATAAAACACACAAAGTAGGCGTTGAAGGCGACCATGGCAAAGTTGTAGAAAGTGATCAGAGGTTTCAGGGCGTCAAATGGCGCTCTGTGAGCCATCAGTTTGGGTCCTAGAGAAAGGGCAAAGAAGAGGAAGAAAGCCATGATGGCAAAAACCAGGTATGGTGGGCCGCCCACCAGAAAAAAGTTTTTTGTCCGAGGGTCCTGAAGATCGTCCCAGTACTGAACTAGGTAGTACTCTGAAATAAAAGAAACTTGTGTTATTTTTTGTACAGTAGTCACATGAAAAACAAACCTAGCGAAAAAAACTGAGATGTGTTTTGAAATGAAATGTCAGCCATGTTGAATATAATTTTTTAGCAGTTTTTGCAAAAACGTGGAAAAATTTTAGAGGAAGTGTGTTACTTTTCAAGCCAACATCGTTTACAAAATAAAAAAGTGTTTATAAAGTTTGCTTTATATTAAGATAAAGGATACAAAACATAATAAAACGTTTGCAAAAAGTTAATTTTCAGTACAGAAGAGTCAATCACATTTGTAGTTAAAAAATGTTAGTCAAATAACAAAAAAAGTTTTTTTTACAAATTAACGCAATAAAAAGTTGGGCGTGCACTGCAATTTTTTTAAATGTTACCTGAAAACATTTAAAAATGGGAATTTTTTTAAATTTGATTCAGAAATGTTGTAGAACTTACAAACACAAGCAAATGCAAATGACCCCTCAATGTAGACTTGAACAAAACTACTCCAACTTTTTCACCTGCTGCTGCTGCGGCTGATGAACCTTTTCTTTGCTTTTGTTGCTGCTGTTGCTGTTGTACGTTTTCCGGTAGAAACTGTAAAATAGGTAAAAGAAGACAGGCGGCTGCGTCATGCCAATCCAGAAGACGATGGGCGGATAGCCGGTTTGTTTGAAAAAGAGCACCACCGCGTAGAGGCCAAAGAGGATAAACTGGCCCAGCTGCAGTTGAGTGAGGTACCTCTTCCACCAAAGGTAAGGCTGCATTTGAGGGCCCAACGAGGAGAGACCAAAATAGGTGTACATACTGCCAATGATTAAAGGCATTTCAAGATTGAAACAACTGTTTTCGAAAGCAAACAAAAGTTGTCTACCTTATATGGACAATGCCATTGAGCAGGCCAAAGAGGGTCATGCCCGGCGCGTTGCCGCTGCTCTTCAGGCAGATGTACCCAAAAAGCGGCACTACTGTGTGGTGGTAGAGGTGCAAAAAGGAGAGGTGATTGTACTTCTTGCGCAGCACAAAGAAGACGGTGTCCAGCAGGTCGAGGAACTTGGTCATCCAGTACCACCAGGCCATGCGAAGCTCCCACAACGTCTGCGGACTGGTGTCGGCTCGATCGGGATACTCCCAAATGAAGAAACGACGACCGTATTCACAGTGATAGAGAAGCAGGCTCACAAAGTAGGCATTGCTTGACGCCATGGCAAAATTGTAAACGGTTATCAGTGGCTTTA